CACTCAGTGGAGTGGTCTGCCTGAACAAGATGGCTGCTGCCACATGTGGGATGACTCAGCATTGGGATCCCACTGGCTACTCTCTCAGTTCTCTCCCAAAGCCTCCATCTCCAGTCTTTTCTCAGGTGTTCTAGTCCACTCTGCGCCCTCTTTAACCAGAGACCTACTGTCTGTGGCTGCCACTCTGCACTTAGCAGCCAGACTTAAGCACAACAGGGCCAGGGCAGAGTCCTTCCTGGGCAGCTCGGGGCGGGGGTGCTATTGTATCGTCTTACGCTGCTGCTGCTCAAGGGACTGGCCTTTTTGAACAAGATCTGCATGTGGGATGACTGAGCACGCAGATCTCACCAGCTATTACCTTAGATCTCTCCCCGTAGTCTCCTCAGGTGTTTCTAGCCCACTCTGTCCCCGACTTTTCTGGAGCCCAGGGTAAGTGGCTGCATATAAAAATTTATGCATTGGCCCTTTAAATGGCTCTTTTCATCTTCAGCTGCATGTCTCTAGCTAGAGCAACCCTGTCACTTTTCATAGCTGGCTGTTATCTGTGTACTTTTTGGGCTTCAGTACTGTAGACTGGAGATCCATGCTTATGGTTTAGATGCCACTCTTCTCAGGGGGGATCCAGTTGGCCATTTAAAAATCCCTCTGACACTGCTGCCTGTGGCCACACAACCAGCCTTCTCGAGTCTCCACCACACTCTTTACCAGTCAGGTTGTCCTAAAGATGATTCTTCTTTCTGTCAGAGGTTATAAGTCTTCTCTCTCGCTATTGTTCAGTTGTTTGTTCCTGGTGATTTCTCCACAATTAAGTTGTAATTCTAGATTGGTCCTGCAAGGAGGTCAGTGTGACTTCCAGTCATTCTTCTGCCATCTTGCCTGACTCCAAAAAGATTTTATTTATTTATTTTTTGGGAGAAGGGACAGGAGGGAGAAAGAGAGGGAGAGAAACATTGATGTGCGAGAGATACATGGATCTTTTGGCTCTCACATACCCCCAACTTGGGACCTGGCCCACAACCCCATCATGTTCCCTAAGTGGGAATCAAACCTGTGATCTTTCAGTTTGCAGGCCAGTGTTCAATCCACTGAGCCACATCAGTAAGGGCTATTGTCATTATATTTTTCTATATCTATGTTCCTCTATATTTGTTGTTGTTGCTGTTCTTCTTCTTTTTCTCTTCCTCCTGTTCCTCCATTTCCTCCTCCTACTACTTCAAGCAGGTCCTTTAACATTTTTTCAATACTGGTTTGGTGGTAATAAATTCCTGAACTTGTATAACTTTTTCCTTCACCAGGTTAAGGAAGTTTTCATCCATTAAAAGGACATGGTTTCCATGTCCTTTTTAATGCTTACTATCTCTTTAAGTTCTTTTTTTTTTTTAAGATTTTATTTTTATTTTTTATTTTTAGAGAGAGAGGAAGGGAGGGAGAAAAGGAGGGAGGAAAACATCAATGTGTGATTGCCTCTTGCATGCCCCCTACTGGGGACCTGGCCTGCAACCCAGGTGTGTGCCCTGACTGGTTGGGAGCACGAGCATTGATGTTTCTCTCCCTCTCTTTCCCTTTCTCTGAAAGTAAATAAATATGACCTTTTAAACAATAAACCCTTCATTTGGAATCTTGGTTGCTTCCATTTCATTTAATTATTTTTCTGGGGATTTGTCTTATTCTTTCATTTAGGGCATATTTCTTTGTCTTTCCATTTTGTCTATGTGTATTAGGTAGATCTTCTATGACTCCTAAACTTGTTATGATGGCTTTATGATGTTGGCGTCTTTTGGGGCTTAGTGGTGCAATCTTCCAGATTATCTGAGCTCAGTGTTCCAGGAATGTTTCTTGTGGGTTGTGTTCCCCTTCCTGTTGTAGTTAAGCCTTGAATGCTGTTGGCCCTTTTTGGGTGGAGTTAACCCTTTTGGCTGGTTGACTGTAAGCATAAATCTCAATCACTGTGTATGAGTCACTATGCATGGGCTGCCCCCTGATGCATAGTTGTTCCCAGCAGATTCAGGTGCCTGCTGCAGTCCCCCTTTGGGTGTGCCACTTGTGCAGCTAATTTGGCTAATTTGAGCTCTGTTGTAGTCTGAAGCCCCCCTAATGGTTGTGCTGGTTCTGAGTCCACTTGGGCAGGGTTCAGGTATAATTTAATGTCAGATGTTCTGTGTAACTAGCCTTGGGCTACCTACTTGGAGCTATCATGCTATTCAATGTTTTTAGCTGCATCTACTGGTCCCGGGTGTGCCTGGGAGGGGCCAATCTGTATATAAGGGTCAGCTTCCTCCAGCTTAGAGCTGGAGGCAGATCTATAAAATGTCTGAGGCTCCGTGAGGTCCACCTCCACCTGTCAGCTACTCCACCTCCCCCTGAAGTTGCCTGGTCTTTCTCCAAGGAAATACTTCCTTGGAAAGAAAAGGAATTATTTTCTCCCAGTAAAGACTGTAGAATGAGCCCCGGCTGCCATGACCCACAGACCCTTCAACAGGTCACGAGCTCAGTAAGGAAGGGTTACTGGGGTCAGGAGGAGGGGCCTTGTTGGTTTTCTACTGGGGGACTCATGGTCAGACAATCAATGAGGGGAAAGTGACTCCTACTCCAGAGCCATGCCCATCAGTCTCTGCCAGTCTCCATCTCTGGCTCCTTCAGGAGGAGCATGCTACAGGTTCAGGTTGGGTGCAGTTAGCCATCCTCTCTGCAAGAGGAAGCTCAGCAGGGTGGAGCCACTGGGGCTAGGGGACAAGGGAGGACAAATCAAAATAGTCTTCCATTGGCAATGGTGCAGGAGGGGGCCAAGCACTTCATCTCAGTCCCAGATAATAGCCTCCAAGGGAGTCACACTCCAAATGTCCCAGCTCCAAGCAGCACTACCTCACTCTACCCCCTCTTCTACCCACCCACCCTGCCCTCCACAGATCTGAGCTCTTTAGGATGAGGCCATGGAGACTTGAGAGAACAGATCCAATCTCTCATTGGGGGTGGTGCCAGCAAGCCTGTAGGGGGGGCGCTTCTTCCCTTTTCTGGGCAAGAACCCCTGAGGTAAAGGTGCACCAAATGTCCCAGCTTTGAGCAGCCCTCATACCCCACTATACCCAGCAGGACTAAGCTCAGCAGGGCAGGACCCCCAGCTGCTAGAAAGGCAGGTCAAATGAGTACCCTATTGGGGGAATAACATGGGCTGAACTCACAGGAGAGATAGGAATGCCGCCACCCCCCCCCCCCCCGATGTAGCCACTCAACCAAGCACCTGCCCATCTGATTCCCAGACAAAAAGCCTCTCATGGAGACATGCTCCAAAAGTCCCAGCTCTGCCAGGCACTCTGCTCCCCCAGTATTACTGAACTCAGGAGGGTGAGGCCACAGGGACTGTAAGGGCAAGCCAAGTAATTCAACAGGTCATAGGAAGGGCACTGGCTTTGCACTCAAGGTGGGTAAGAATGGTCCCCTTTCCAAAGCTACACAATTCACTGTCTGAGTCTCCACCTAGAGCTTCTGCAGATAAAGAGCGCTCCAAGAGTTCCTGTTGGGTACAACCAGCAGGCCCCTGTGCAAGACCTGAGCCCCATAGAATGGTGTTGCCAGTAGAAGGACAGTGCACTCCTCAGTCTGGTGCTGTAAAAATAGGAGTGCTTAACCTGGGAAGGTGGCATCTGGGTGTCTAGCAGACTCCCTTCTACCCCAGGTGACTGAATCCCCACTGATTTTCACTACCATGTGCTACTCGGACTCCTCTGATTTTCACTACCATGTGCTACTCGAACTCCTCTTCTTGTCTCTGTTACTCTGGGTTGAGGATCCCTGCATGGGGTTCAGACCCTGCACTCCTGGTGGGGAAGGAGTTTGGCAGCTGAGATATCCCTCCAGCTGAGCCACTGCATGTGGGTGCAGGAGCCAGCCCTTTCCACATCTCTGCCCTTGTTACCAGCCTCTATGTGGCTTCTTCTATAAATCCTTGGTTATAATATTTCATCATAGGTAGCCTTCAGTTGGTTATTCAGGTTGATTGCTCTGTAATTTAACTGTAAATCCTGTTTGGCACAGGGAGCAAGTGAGTGTACCTTCCACTTACTCTTCTGCTATCTTATAATCCATACCTACCTTTTTTTTGTTAAAAAAAGGAACTGTCTTAAATGGTTAAGGCTATACAGTTGAGAAGCCAGTGAACATGGGTTCAGTAATATATTTGTCCCTGTCCCTTACTGACTGTGTGACCTTGGCCAAGTTACTTAACCTTTCTGTGTGTCAAGTTTCTCATTTACAAAATGTAAATAATGCTTACTACACATGGTTATGGTAAGGAATAAGTTAGATAATGTATGTAAAGTCTCTATGTAAAAATACTAAATTCTCAATAAATGTTAGCAGTTGTGTTGTTAGTCATTCAGTTATTCATTTAACAATTATATGTATTTACTATGTGTCCAACACTGTGCTAGGAACCATGGGAGATATGAGGTGCAAAATATGAGCCCTGTTTTTATATGCTTATAATTAGTTGAGGAGATAAAACTAGCATAACATTTTACAATTAGAGAATAATACAATTAAAGGTAAATGTTATAAAAGATCAAATAAATTACAGTATTTAGGGAGAGGCTTTAACAGCCCCAGTGTGCTGGCTTGTTGATTAGCATAAAAAAATAGATGGGGAGAAAAAAAATAAAACTGCTCTTACTAGGCCTTCAGAGGTCTAGTTTTGATTCTGCCTGCCAGATAGAAATTGATGCAGAGGGGAAAAACATCCTGTATTTACTTCTGAAAATTAAGACAGGATGGGGGAGTGTGTTTCATAGGGGAACATATGTGAATAAACATGATATAACCCATAATTGGTTCTTGATTATTAACATTAAAATATTTTCATTGGCAAACACAGATATGATATTTTTCACTTAATTAATCAAGCCCTACGAGTCATATATTTTTAACTTGTTAAACCAGAAATCAAATACTGGATAAAGGCTGCAAACCTATTTTGATGTACATTGATGTACTTTTCTCTTTTGCAGAGTCGCTATGGCAACTGCATCTTCTCAAGTTCTGATTCCAGACATCAATTTTAATGATGCCTTTGAAAACTTTGCTCTAGATTTTTCCAGAGAAAAGAAACTGCTGGAGGGGCTAGATTATTTAACAGGTGTGAAAATACTGTGCCTCTTTTCCTGTTTTAATTCTTTTCTTTTGTTGTGTTTATACTTTAAAATAATCTAAAAAAAGAGTATTTATAATTAAGATGCTTTTGTAATCTATAAAATGATACATGTATCTTTTTAGGTAGAACACACTTTAGTTAATGTAACAGAAAACAAAGATGATTTGTCAAATATATCTGGGGGCAGAATAAGTATACCACGCATACTTAAAGGTAAAAAACAAGAAGTTGCTGATGGATTTCTCCTTATGAGCCTATCAGTAATAGATTGTTACTTGTTACAGGGGTAGAACTCCGGTGACAATGATAGAATATTAGTGAGTGCTCCACATAGGTACAGATACCACTTAAATAGTTTTAAGGAAATTAAAGGATTAGCAAATTGGGAAGAAATATGTAAGAAATATCAGGCTTGTAGATAGTTTTCTAAAATGAGGGAACACAACCAACCTTTTAAAAATGCTGGCTACATTCAGGATTATTTGAATAATTATTTTATGAGGAAAATACACACATATAATAACTTTGTATGTGTAGTTATTTTTGTCAATACATTAAAATAACTGTCATTTATTGAACACCTACTATATGCCAGATACTGTATATTAATTTTATGTCATGAGTCCTTGCAACAAATCTATGATGTAATTATAATCTCTATTTTACAGATGGGGAAACACATATTATTTGCACTTGGTTACACTGCCAAACTTATTTTGAAATAAAAAGAAATAGGTTGTATGACCAGCAACAGTGAAAGGAAAAGAAATCAACAGAGACAAGAGGGAAGGAGGGAGGGGAACAGGGAAAGGGAAGGGAAGGGGAAAGTCAAGGAACATGTAGCAAGGACTTATGGACAAAACCAAAGGGGAAGAGCTGAGGGAGGGAAGGAGGGAGGGGGAAAGGGAAAATGGTAGGGGGGAGTCAGAGACAAATGTATTTAAAAAATAAATAAATAAATAAATAAATGCTTGGGGGAAAAAAGAAATAGGTTGAAGGTCATATGATAAAAAAAAAACAAACTGTGTGACCACTTTGACCTACTATTTACCTGTGTTTGTTTAGACAGCATAGACAATCAGTCATTCATCTCAATAACTTAGGCTTATATATTTGTCTAAAATATCTTTATCAGTGAAGCAAAAGTGAGTTGGGGGAACATGAGCTCTTAGCTCTTTGCTTTAAGTTGTGCTATGTGCAATCTAAAACTGTTTATTAAAATGTCTCCATGACATGTTGGGTTGGGCAGTATGAGTAATGATTGTAAAGTTCCAGAACAGAGAATGTGTTTTCCTTACCTTCTTTTCCACCTTTCCCTACAGCCCCAAACCCACCATCTATCCGAGAGGAACTCTGTACTGCCTCCCATGACACCATTACAGTCCACTGGATCTCGGATGATGAGTTCAGCATCAGCTCCTATGAGCTTCAGTACACCATATTCACTGGCCAGGCTAACTTCATCAGTAAGTCATGGTGTAGTTGGGGCCTGTGGCCAGAGATAAGGAAATGTAAGGAAGCAGTAAGCTGCTCAAGATTGGCCGGGGCGCCACGAGGCAAGTGTTTGTAAGACATGTTAGGTTGTTTAGAACAGTGTTTTGTAGACAGTGTAAGTTCCCCCAAGGCCTTGCAAAGGGCTTACTGAAGTGTTGCCTATCAGCAAGTTGTCTATTTTCTTGCAGGGAAGTCACTGGGGCCACTCCCATTTGTTTATGTAATTCTTAGCCTTTTGTCAGTTAATCCATGTCACCCCACTCCAAAGTCAGAACAGAGCTCATAATTTGTTCCTGGGTAGCTAAATCACCATCATTGCTAATCCTGTATGTGTGAACATCTCTATCCTTGACTCTTCTTCCACTTCATTATCATGGTAAAATACAATACATTATGTTCAAAGACTACTTACATCTTTTACCATATCCATTTGTGTATTAGTGAATATAGTGACAGGCCTCCTGCCTCTGACACTCTCCCCTTTATCCCTTCTACCTTTCCTCCAAGAATTACACCAAATATAAAACTGTGTCGGTGGGCCACAAAATGAAAGATGTTCAAAAAACAGTCATTTAGCTCTCACATTATGGTTTCACCTTCTGATGAATTGAAGTAAGAACTTAACTCATTGATTGCCAGACAAGAGGGTTTGAGGTGCAAGTTCTCCTCCATGCAATGGGGAAAAATGGAAATGAAAGCAGAATTAAAACTGGATTCAACATTGGAACTGATTCCAACCCTAAGTTTGCATCTGAATAGCTGCAAAATAGTATTTTCTTTTACCTGTGTGTTTATGATTCTGTTTCTGACTTCATAGGTTTGCATGAGAGGAGTTGTGAAATCCTCGCAATAGGCTTCCTTTTCCTGAACTGTGACAATTCTGGGCCACATATTGGGGTGGAGAGGTGAGAGGACATTTGGGGTCAAACGCTCAAAAACACTTGCCTCGTGCAGCTCCAGTCTAAGCCACTTTGCCCAGGTAGCTGTGATCTTGGGTGTTCCTGGGTGTTTTTTCAGTTTGTGAAGTCATAAGTTCTCAGGCCTTCCCAACATGCTGTTCTGCACTTGCCTCTCTTGTTCTGGAAAGTTTTAGAACCAGCAACTGTGCTTCTTCTTCCTGATTTTGGAAGAATGCTGATCTCTTGGAGTTGAGAATAAGTCCAAGAAGTGGCAAAGATCTAAAGGCTGTCACCTCTATTTTCAAGTATATATAGCTCTTTGTAAAGAAAAGCTTAAAGGATATTTCTTAATAGGAATAAGAACACAGCATCTTAGAATTCAAAGGGATGACCTTAGAAGTCAATTAATCTAATCTTCTCTTCTACCAGAAATGCAGCAGATTATCCTGTCTCTGATTGAACATTTCCAGTGATGGATCGCTCACTTCTAACAAAACAGCCCATTTAGTTGTTGTGCAGATATAAATAATTGTCAGTACTTCTTTATAACAGGTCTCATTCTTTCTCCTAGTAAATGAAGACAATAATACTTTACATGTATATTATGTTTTGCCATTTACAAACACTCCCATATACATAATCTCATTTAGTCCTCATGAGTTCTTACTTACCCTTATGAAATAGATGATATTAATTCTACTTTTTCGGTGAATAAACTGAGGCTCAAGTTTAGTGAGTTGTCCAAGGTCACAAAACTACAAGCTAATAGAGTCAAGATTTGAATCCAAGTCTCTCAGATTTCAAGCTTAATGCTCCTTGTATTAAACAAAAGCTACCAGTTAGTCCTCAGCCTACTCTTTCACGCTTCACTAACAACCCTAATCAATCTTTCACAGGGCAGTTCCTCAGATAATTTTAGGTAGCCTCGTGTCCCTTCTAAATTTTGTCTTTTCCAGGCTAAACATCCTCAGTTCTTCGAACTGCTTCTCATGTTTCAGACCCTTTACCATCCTAGTATCCTTCTTATGAACACACTCCTATTAGTCAAAATGCTTTATAAAATGTGGTTTGAAAAAAAATGAATACACTGCAAAAGTAGTCTGACCAGTGCAGGGGATAGTTGAATTATTTCTCTTGTGTATTAGCTCATACCACGCCCCTCCTGCTTGGAACATTTTTCTAAGAGTAGCCATATTGACTACAGAATGTTGGCTGAGCATATGATCAGCTGACATCCCTTTGAATTTTAAATCATATTACTATTCAATTGATTGTCTAAATGGAAATACAACAATTATATTCATTCCTATTACATTTTATCTGGTTAGCTTTGATTCCTCATTCCAGCCTACCAATATCCTTTTAAATCAAGATTCTGCCTTCCAATAGATTCACTTCCCCTCCCAGCCTGCCTGCCATGTCTTTCCTCTGATCATTGACAGAAAAGTGGAATAGGACTGGGACAATAGCAGACCATGAAGCGAAATTTTTTTATTTGAAAAAATAAATTAATTAATTAAAAAAAGAAAAAAAATATCTTTCTTCCTCATCAAACCTATCCCACCACACTCCTGTTCGAACATCAGTCAAAATTCTTTTCTTAAATATATTTTAAAGCATGTATTTTTATATTTTTAATTTATTTTTTCATTCAAATACATTTGTCTCCGCCTTCTCACCACCACTTTCCCCTGCTCTCCCTCCCCGATCTCCCTCCCTCAGTCCTTCCCCACTTTGGCTTTGTCCATGAGTCCTTCATATACATTCCTTGAACTGACCCATCCCTTCCCTTTCCCCACCCACACCCCCCTCCTTCTTGCTTGACTCTGTTGGTTTCTTTTTTCTTTCAATGTCACTGGTCATATTATCCCTGCATTTTTGTTTTGTTGTTTACGTTCCACTTATAGGTGAGATCATATGGTATTTGTCTTACACCCCCTGGCTTATTTCGCTTAGCATAATGCTCTCTAGTTCGATCCATGCTGTCATGAAGTTTAGTAGTTCTTTTCTTCTTTCTGCTGCATAGCATTCCATAGTGTAATGTACGATAATTTTTTAATCCAATCATCTCCTGAAGGGCATTTAGGTTGCTTCCAACACTTGGCTATTGTAAATTGTGCTGCTATGAACATTGGGGTGCTTAGGTATTTTTGAATTGGCGTTTTGGGGTTCTTAGGGGATAGTCCAGGCAGGGAAATCACTGGAACAAAAGGCTGTTCCATTTTCAGCATTTTGAGGAAATTCCACACTGCTTTCCACAATGGAGGCACTAGTCTGCATTCCCACCAACAGGGTACTAGGGTCCCCTTTTCTCCACAGCCTCGCCGGCACCTGTTGTTTGTTGACCTGTTTATGAGGGCCATTCTGACCAGTGTGAGGTGGTACCTCATAGTGGTTTTGATCTGCATTTCCCTGATGGCTAGTGATGCTGAGCATCCTTTCAAATGTCTCTGGGCCCTCTGTATCTCCTCCTTGGAAAAGCGTCTGCCAGGTCCTTTGCCCATTTTTTGATTGGATTCTTTGTCTACTTGGAGTGGAGTCGCGTGAGTTCTTTACATATCTTGGAGATCAAACCTCTATCTGATGAATCATTAGCAAATATATTTTCCCATATGGTTGGCTCCCTTTTCATTTTGCTGATGTTTTCTTTCGCCATGCAGAAGCTTCTTATTTTGATGAGGTCTCACTTGTTTATTCTTTCCTTTATGTCCCTTGCTTTAGGAAACATATCAGTGAAAAAATTGCTGCGTGGGATATCTGAGAGTTTCCTGCCAATGTTCTCCTCTAGGACTTTGATGGTGTTGCGACTTATATTTAAGTCTTTTATCCATCTAGAGTTTATTTCTCTGTATCGTGTTAGCTGATGATCCAATTTCAATTTTTTGCATGTGGCCGTCCAGCTCTCCCAACACCATTTGTTGAAGAGGCTATTATGGCTCCATTTTATGCTTCTGCCCCCTTTGTCAAATATTAGATGCCCATAGAGACCTGGGCTTATTTCTGGGCTTTGTATTCTGTTCCACTGGTCTATGGGTCTGTTCGTGTGCCGGTACCAGATCATTTTGAGTATACGGGCTTTGTAGTAGAGTTGATGTCCGGTATTGTGATCCCTCCTACTTAGTTTTTCTTTCTCAAAATTGCTGCAGCTATTCAGGATCGTTTATGGTCCCCTATACATTTTTGAAATGTCTGTTCTATTTCTGTGAAATATGTCATTGGTATCGTAATAGGGATTGTGTTGAATCTATAAATTGCTTTGGGTAGTATGGACATTTTGATGATATTAATTCTTCCAATCCATGAGCACGGTATATGCTCCCATTTATTTGTGTTTTCCTTCATATCTTTCTTCAATGTTGTGTAGTTTTCCGCATACAGGTCTTTTACCTCCTTGGTTAAATTTATTCCTAGGTACTTTATTTTTCTTGTTGCTATATCGAATGGTATTTTTTTCTGACTTCTTCTTCATCTATTATATTTCTGGTGAACAAAAATGGCTTTGATTTCTGAATATTGACTTTGTATCCTGCTGTTTTGCCAGATTCACTTACTAGATAGAGTAGTTTTTTTGATGGAGTCTACAGGGTTCTCTATGTACACTATCATGTCATCTGCAAACAATGACAGTTTTATTTCCTCCTTTCCTATTTGGATGCCTTTTATTTCTTTTTCTTGTCTGACTGCTGTGGCTAGGACTTTCAATAAGATGTTGAAAAGATGTGGTGAAAGAGGACATCCTTGTCGTGTTCCCGATCTTAGCGGGAAAGCTTTTAGTTTTTGCCCATTGAGTATGATGTTGGCTGTACCTTTTTCATATATGGCCTTTATTATGTTGAGGAATGCCCCATTGATTCCGATTTTGTGAGTGTTTTGATCATAAAAGGGTGCTGTACCTGACTGAATGCTTTTTCTGCGTCTATCGAGATGATCGTGTGGTTTTTGTCTTTTCGTTTATTTATACGATGTGTTACGTTTATTGACTTGCGTATATTGAACCATCCCTGCATCCCTGGGATGTATCCCACTTGATCCGGGTGGATAATCTTTCTAATGTATTGCTGGATGTGGTTTGC